GGACTCGAATTTTATCACCAGAGGTTAAAAAAAAATTAACTTTTGTATTGTTAATATTTTTGTTTAGGATCATGAACAAAGTTAGAGACCCCTAGAACATTGCTTCTAAATTTGTTCACAATGATGTGAGTGTTGGCAGGGACGGAACCCAAATTTTATCACTGGAAAGGTTAAAAAAATATTTTTGTTTCTATCGTACATACAAACACACATATATTTACAATATAATATATAAACTATATAGCTTTGGTGCCTCTATCTACTACTGTTTTGTTCATTTGGTGTTTTTGTGTATCTGTTGAGCTGCTTGTGTCTAGTGCATGTTTATTAGAAATTTTTTTAAAAATGTTAATGTTTAATTTTTATATTTTTTTTATTTATTTTATTATTTTATGTAAAAATAATTTAACAATTTCTCATTATCAATTCTCTCACTAATAATTCTCTTATTATTAATCTCTTCACTATTAATTTTTTTAATTTTATCTCTGAAAACAAACGAAAAGAGAGAAAAGAGAAGTTTGTTGCTATTTTCACACAAAAACCTGTACTTTGTGTTGGGTGAGGAAGTCACGTTTATTGCTGATGTTAGGTTGCTTTCCGAAGAATATACATAGAGAGACCCACTCGCAAATATATTATATTAGACTTCCCAACTGCATAGAAAACAAAATATATAATTGGTCGTTGGTGAGCTTCTTTTAGTCCCAACGTCCCTCGCCTAATCTTCCATTTCCACATCATCATCATCATCATCATCAGGGCCGGCCCTGCCCTAAGGCAGGTAAGGCTTGTGCCTTAGGCCCCATATTTTGGCCCAAAAATAGGGTCCCCAAATTTAAAAAATTCCTTCTTCTTTTTTTTTTTTTTTTTTTTTTTTTTTTTAACAGGCCCCAAAATGTTTTATTGGGCCCATGTATAATTTAGTCCATATTTATTTATAAATGTGTTTGGCCCATATTTATTAAAATGAAAATATATATAAAAAAAAAACAGAAAATATGTTTGGCCCAACCCAAACCATACATACAATATACAATATACAATATACAACATCACTTCAGTGCACTGCTAGTGTGCTTCTGCTTTCAATCTCTCTCTTTAACGAAGTGATGAAATGAAGACGGAAGTATGTATACCAAGTTAAAGGCAGACGCATAGCACAGCATTGTGAGCGACTCACTCTCTTTCTTTCACACACTCCTCCGGTGATTCACTCTGTCACACATACACTCTCTCTCATGGTAGGTCCTCTCTCTCAGTATCAGATTTTATTAAATAAAGTTGTCCTAATTTTTTTTCTATATTCTTTCTCTATCAATTAGTGAAATAATAAATTTGCCCTAATTTTTTTGTTACCTTCTTTATCAATTAGATTTTAGTGGAATAAATAATTTAGCCCTAATTTTTTTACCTAGGTATTTATCAGTTTTAAGGTTGGTTTGGGATGTCCTAAAAAAGTGTACTTTTTGACTTATTGGTGGGTTTGGGTTGGGTTTAGGTTGGGTTTGATGTGATGTGTTAGAGAGGTGATGTGATTTAAATAAGATGATGTGATTTAAATAAGATGATGTAACTTAAATAAGATAGTGACTTTTTGGCTTATTTAGTACATGCCAAACTAGCCCTTAATTGAATAATTTTTTTCCCTAATTTTGTTTCATTAAATTATATTTTTATAATTTATTTGCTATTAGATCAGTGGATTGTGATTTGTGGATTAAAGTGTTTGTAATTTGTGGATTGATTTGAAGTGTTTGTGATTTGTGGATTGAAGTATTTGTCATTATAGTCATGTTTCCTAGGAAGTATAGTTCAAGTATACTTAAATAAAAAATTTGTGAATGCTTACCATTTTATGCATAGATTTTTTATTAAAAAAATATATATATTAGAGGGACCCCATTTTCATAGTTTGCCTTAAACCCCACAAATCTCAGGCCGGCCCTAGTCTAATATATATATATATATATATATATTTCAAAAGTGCTATATTTAAACAGAATTTTTCACAAAAACAATAGGACATGATCTCTCATAGTCTTTTACTTGTTTCATTCCTGAGTGATGGGTCTTAATGTTTAATTTCTAAGCAAATTAACAATTGATATATAACAATTCACAATGTTTAAATCTAAGAGGTGATATTTTAAATGTCTCAATATTATTTTTTTTAGTAACACTTGCAGTTAGGACTTCATAAAATTTTGACATATAGCAATGTTAACCAAACTTTTGGTATAAGTTTGCCACAATAAGATAAGACAAGCATTCATTTCTCCTACGGTGGAAAAAATGATTTTGTTGAATTTAGGATTTGTATAGTTGTGTATTATGAGTAACTTTTAGCAATGAAGTCTAATGTTTTGTCAAAATGTAAAATTACTATTTAATTTTCTATAGCTTTGATAAATTTTCGCCCCAATAATAAAATATAGAAAGTAATCATTTAGGCATTACCACGTAAATACGATAGAAAGAAATGGAAAAACAAACATGTTAAATGGTTACATGAATCTACTAACATAAAAACTCTTTTACATTGGTTACACACATGTACACAATTAATTAGCACAAAAAAGAGAAAATACAATAATACAAGGATGAGGCTTGTCCCTAGCCTAATTCGAATTGGATCGTATTGTTGGGCTGGGCAGGGCTCAATCTATTTGTTAGATGGCTAGGGAGGGCCATGTATCTTTTTTTTTTTTTAAAAAAAAAAAAGCCTGAATAGAAATAGAAAAAGACAAAAAGAAGAAAGAAAAAAAACCTAATTCCTATGACCTGCTCTACGCCGTGACGCCGTCTCAATTTATTGAAGCAACCATAAGATTTTTTTTTGAGTTAAATCAACTTGGGATACATAAAAAAAAAATAATAATAATAATGTCTTGCTTCTGCTATTAATCTTCTCGTTATTACAGGTATGTGATTCATATTTTCTTTTATTGTTGTTTTCAATTTGTAATACTTTTATTATCTTTTTTTTAATGTCATATTGATACAATTGTAATTTTTTTTTAATTTTACATATTAAGAAAAAAAAAATCATGAATTAGGACATATGATTTCAATTACTAGGGTTTTTTTTTAATCATATTTGGGCAAATTTAATTTTATTCAGATTAAGTGTTATAAATTCAAAATTAAAACGAATTGAGACTTGTATAAAATTTATGTGTTGAATCTGAATTCTGAATTTTTAAATTTATATGAAATTTGTTTTAGTTATATTTGTTATTCTAGGCACAAAAATTTTCTATGTCCTGTGATATATATATATATATATATATTACATTAGCAATTGGTTGTAATTTCTAATAGAACATTAACCATGTATGTAATAAATTCTATTTTGATTTGTAGATTATTATGGGAAAGCCATGTACAATTGATAGATTTTTTAAAAGAAAAAGTGCAAGTTCCTTAGAAGTCAATGCTGACAATACATAATTGCCAACTTCCAATGTTGATATCCCTGAAAATCCTCCCACAAAATCTCAAAAGATTGATGTTAAAGAAATTGATATTGGTTCATTGGAACGAGATCCTGGATTACGTATACAGATTTGGGATTATCAAGTTAATCAACGTGATAAAATTCGACGAGCTTATATTAAGGCTAGTCCATATCAACCTATACTTTCAAAGTATCTGAAATCTGGATCAACAACTCATCTTCGTAGCTTTCAACCGTCATGGTTGAAACTATTTTAGTCATGGTTGGAATATTCACCTGCAAAAGATGCAGCTTTTTGTTTACTATGCTTTCTTTTTTATAAACCATGTGAATCTGGATATTATGGGCAGCAAGCATTCACTATTGATGGATTTTAGAATTGGAAAAAAGTTAGGGATGGAGCAAAATGTGCTTTTTTAAATCATATAGGAAAAGATCCTAATTCTTTTCACAATGTTGCCGAGAGATCATGTGAAGACATGATGAATCAATTTCAACATATATAAAAAAGGTATTGGACAATTTCACTTCTGAACAAATTGTAGATAATCGACTAAGATTGAAGGTCTCAATTGATACAATATGATTGCTTGCATTTCAAGGTTGTGCTTTTAGAGGTCGTGATGTAAGGCCAAATTCAATCAATCGTGGAAATTTTCTTCAAATAGTGAAATTGTTGGGATCATATAATGATAATGTTGCTAAAGTATTGGATAAAGCTCCGAAAAACGCCTCTTACACATCACCAAAGATTCAAAAAGAAATTTTACATATTTTTTCAACGAAAGTGAAGAATGCAATTCGTGAAGAAATTGGTGATGCGAAGCATTGCATAATTGTTGATGAAGCTGGTGATGAGTCAAAGAAGGAGCAAATAGCTATAGTTTTGAGATCCGTTGGCAAAGATGGTTTTGTGAGAGAGCGTTTTTTTGGGCTTATTCATGTCTCTAACACTGCTGCATCAACCCTAAAAGATGGAATATATTCTGTATTGTCTCATCACAATTTAGATATTCAGAATATTCGAAAACAAGGATACGATGGTGCAAGCAATATGCGAGGCGAGTGGAAAGGATTACAAGCATTAGTTTTGAATGATTGTCCATATCCTTACTATATTCATTGTTTTGCACATCGTTTGCAGCTAGCTTTAGTGGCAGCATCGAAAGATGTTATCCCAATTCATAAATTTTTTCTTAAATGGACTTTTGTTGTCAATATTGTTGGTGCCTCATGCAAGCGCAATGATGAATTGAAAGTTGCGCAAGCTGTTGAAATTGAACATATGATTGACATTGAAGAGCTCGAGACTGGAAAGGGACTTAACTAGATTGGCACTTTACAACGAGCTAGAGATACTCGTTGGAGTTCTCACTTCAAGTCAGTTTCAAGATTAATAAAAATATTCAGTCCAACATGTGAAGTTCTTCTTAACATCATTAATGAAGGAACGACTTCTGCGCAACGAGGAGATGCAAACTCAGTTTATGAAACATTGACTTCATTTTAATTTGTCTTTATTTTGCATCTCATGAAAGAAATGTTGGAGATCACTAATTTACTTTGTCAAGCTTTGCAATGCCGATCTCAAGACATCTTAAATGCTATGAATCTAGTTTCATCTACCAAGGCACTTCTGCAAAAGTTTAGAGATGACAAATGGGATGCTTTACTAGCCAATGTGCAATCATTTTGCGAGGTACGTAACATTGATGTCCTGAATATAAATGCTCCTTATATTAGGAGAAGAGGTCGAGCTCGTGATCATCAAGATGACTTTACAGTTGAGCATTATTATCGAGTAGATATTTTTTATGCTGCAATAGATTCTCAACTACAAGAATTAAATGGACGGTTCAGTGAACATGCAGTAGAGTTGCTTAATCTTAGCTCAGCTCTAGATCCTCGAGATGTGTCTGAAACTTCTAGAATCGACGATATTTGTCGGTTAGTAGAAAATTTTTATCTGCAAGACTTCAAAGATCAAGAGAAAATACAGTTGAGAATGCAACTTCACCATTACGAGCATAATGTAGTTCAGCATGCAGATTACAAAAAATTGTCTACTATTTCTGAATTGTGTTAGTGGTTGGTAAGGACAAACAAATCCACGATCTATTAACTTGTTTATAGAGTGATTACACTTGTTCCTACTCTTCCAGTTTCTACTGCAACTACGGAGCGATCATTTTCGGCCATGAAAATTGTCAAAAGTAGACTTTGCAACAAAATGGAAGATGAATTTCTTACAGACTCTTTGCTTGTGTACATTGAAAAGGAAATTGCTGAAAATTTTACCACAGAGTCAATCATTAAAGACTTTCAAGATATGAAAGAATGTCGAGTTCCACTTTGATAGATAATTGAGTTGATTGTATAAATAATTTTTTAATACATGACTTTGCTTTTATTCATATATTAAATTTAGTAAATATATGGTTTTATTTTTTACGTACTAATTTAATATTAAATTTTAGTTTACTTTTTGAATTCAAAAAAATAGGAATTTATATCAATTCATATAAAAAAAATTATTTATTTCTTGGCCCCCCCTCCCGCAAATGAATTTTTGGTTCCATCCCTGATACTAATAAAAAAGTTTCATTAAGTTGGGTGCCCAACCGAATTTTTGGGATGCAAATAGAGTCTCCCCTAGTTGGGAAATTTTTTTATTTCCACACAACTACTTATCTCAGTGCGCAAACTTAATGAAATATCAAAATAATTAAAATTATATCTTAAAGTAAAATGACCAAATCAAAACACACCCTTAATATTATATTCAAATTTCCTCTATACACATCTTTAAAAATAATTTTTTTAAAAAAATCTTAGTGCACATTTTTTGAGTAAGAAAAACCCCGAAATAATTGAATACAACAACTATATGAACGTTTTTGAAAGCACAACTCAATGTAATCTTCGGATCTGTCTCTATCTCTCCCTTTTTTTTAAGCTTCGAAGAAAGTTTGTGTAATCATTCATGGAACTCGTAATGCAAATATAGTGTTGTTTCAACTAAAAAGCACTAATAGATTGAATTGGGGACAACTTTGAAGAAGAGAGATTGCATTGGCTGTTTCTGTTGAAGAAGCTATTGCAGCTTTATCTACTTTCTCCTTGGAGGTAAATTCAAGATCTATTCACACAATAGCTTTGTAATTCTCCAGAGGAAACTATTTTCTCGTCTTTTGGTACTACATAACCGAAAAATTATACAAAATTTGGAAACCAACTTTGGAATTAAACAATGAAATTTGGAAACCAAGTTCCGAAAATATGTGAATAAGTTAACAACTGAATCATTACTTTTTATTTGGTAAGCCAATGCTGAATGCAAAAAATTAGAAATATTCCAAGAAAAAAATGAGGCTCTTCAATGGAGTGTCAATAGAATGGATTGCAAATAGATAACACAAAAGATTTCAAAATGGTTGGGAGATACTCACCTTTAACAATGCAGTGGAGGGTCTTCAATGGAGTCGTCTAAATGTAAGATTTTCAATGGAGATTTTAATAGAGTTGTCAATGGGTCTTCATTGTTTCTTCATAGAGTTGTCAATGGGTCGTTTTGATGCATCAAGTGTGTGAAAGGAGGATTTTCAACCGAAATAGGTAAAGGTGTGTGGAAGAAAGGTTTAGATGGTCTGTGTACAATAATATAAATATACACTACAACAAAAAGCAGTTTTGGTGACCAAAAATGCAAATTTCGTCGCTGAAAGTAGGACAATTGGCGACTAAAATTGAATTGTATACTTATTGGCGACTAAAAATCAGATTAGTCGCTGATTACATGGGTTTTAGCGACTAAAACAATTTTAGTAGCCAAAAGTGAAGGTTTTTGGAGACTAAAAAAAATTAGTAGCCAAAGGTATAGGTTTTGGCGACTTAAAAATGGTTTGGTCGCCGATTGTAGGTGTTTTACCAACAAAAAAAAATGTTGTAGCCAAAAGTAAAGGTTTTTGGCTACTAAAAAAAATTTAGTAGCTAAAAGTGGACAATTGGCGACTAAAATTGAGTTTAGTCGGCAAAAGTGGCGATTGTAGGTGTTTACCGACAAAAAAAAATGTTGTAGCCAAATGTAAAGGTTTTTGGCTACTAAAAAATTTTTAGTAGCTAAAAGTGGACAATTGGCGACTAAAATTGAGTTTAGTTGGCAAAAGTGGCGGTTTTGGCGACTAAAAATCAGTTTAGTCGCCGAAAGTGGTTATTTTTAGGCGGAAATTAATTTTTTTTGCGACTAAATTATTGGGTAGTAGCCAAAACTAAGGTTTTTGGCGAGTAAAAAAAAATTTAGTCGCCAAAAGTGGCTTCCTTTTTTTTTAATAAATAATTTATTTTTTACATAAATTATATTGAATAAAAATAATTATGTTTATATATATAGTTTAATATTAATACGGGTCAATATAGTATATAAATAATATGTTTTGCATACATATTCATGTGGTGTTATTGTGGCATAGTGGAGAGAGTGTGTTGTTAAAAGCTTAGAAAGTGGAAGGTTGGTGGTTCAAAACTTGGGAAGAGCAAAGGGTTAATTTTTTTTTTTCTGAAATAACCTTTTGGCGACTAAAACGGGTGGTCACCAAAAGTTTCAGTATTGGCGACGAAAAATTTAGTCGCTACAGACTTGGTTTTTGGCGACTAAAAGTTTGTTAGTCGCCAATACCTTTCGCGACAGTTTTCCAACGACCAAGCCGGCGACTAAAACATTTAGTTGGGAAAACTCAAAACCCGACTTTTGGCGATTAAAAATTCACTTTTGGCAACTAAAAATTTAGTCGCCAAATGTGTTTTTTTTTTGTAGTGATAATTGGAACATCAAACGTGTGTAATGAGAAGAATAATCAATAATCAAATTCATAAATATATGTACTGAGATAAGTAGGTGTGTGAAAATAATTTTTTTTTTCTAGTTAGGTGCTTTCCAAATAGGTTTGACGATCGAAGGGCTGGTATGACGATCGAAGGGCTGGTCTATTCACCCTTTTTGTGGACAACCTTCCTGAAACTATGGATCCGAGAAGTTTACACAAACTATTCTCCAAGTTTGGTGTAGTAAAGGACGCATTTATACCAAGCAAGAGAAGGAAATCGACAAATACGAGATTTGGGTTCATCAGGTACGACTGTTCCATCTCAGCCAGCGTAGCAGAGCAGAAAGCAAATGGCCTGTGGGTTGATGATAAATTGCTGATAGTAAAAACCGCAGAGTATGGGAATGGAATAGATGATAGGAGGAAAATAAATCTAAAACCAACTAGACAACCAGAGTCACGCAAACCATTTGCCTCGACCGTCAACAGAAACTGGAATCAAAGGGTTGATGGAAGAACGTTTGCAGATGTTCTCAAGAGCACTGACTCCAGATCCCCATCTAAGCCAACTATCAAAGTAGAAGAGATAGGCAATGGGTGGTTGTTTGAGAGCTTGATCATGAGGCTCAAAACGGAATACTCTGTTCAGGAGGTGAAAAATGAACTCAAAAAGAGAGGTATGTCGAGCGTGCTAGTTAGAGAAGGTGGAGGTCGAGATGCAATCATCACCTTCAATTCCAGAGAAGATCTGTTGAAAGGAAAATCTCAACTTGAAGTTTGGCTTCATGAATGGTGCGAATACATCACTGAGTGGCACTCTGATATGCATCTCCAACAGGAGAGATACGTTTGGATCAGATGCTATGGTGTGCCCCTCAACCTGTGGAACTCAGCTACCTTCAAAAAGATTGGAAGTTTATGGGGGGAGGTGGTTATTCTAAACAACACTTGCTCCCCCAAATCTTTTCGTTGTGGGAGGCTCAAATTAGTCACTGGTGTTATGGACCCCATCAGCACGTGCTTAAACTTGGAATGCAAAGGCAGACTGTATCCCATAAGAATTTACGAAGAGTATAATTCAGAAAATGCATTATTCAGTTACCAGGGAACTACTACCAACGGGGCTGAGGAAGATGGGTGCTCCAAAATTAATCACCAGCCCATTATAGGTACCAATCTGGAGGTAGAGGGTGCTGCCAGAGTAGATGCTGCGGCTGGGGAATATGAGATGTCACATGCATCCATGGCTTGCAGGTTGAAAAACAAGGTTGGGCTGGAGGATGGGGGTAGTTGGAGTAATGCCTCAGCAGTAGAGGAGACCAAATCTTTTGGGGGGAAATTCAAATGCAGAAGATACTTGTGTGGTAGAATCATCATCACCGGAGGGAAGTCTGCGGCAGAAGCATTGGCCCAATCACATCAATCACAGAGGTATGGAGGTCCCTATAATAGAACACAATCATGATCCTCAACCAGCTGCGTTAGCACCCTCAGAGGTGGATAGTCAGAATCAAACGCCTGGTTTCATTAAGAGTCTTAGTGGGCCATCCAAGATTAATACTGGCATTTGTTTGGAAGTAGACTTACGATCTGTCCACTCTGGGTTGCAGCCCTCTGGGCCAGCCCATGGCTGTGTCCAGCCCACTAGTTCTTATAATAGTTTTCCTCACAGCCCCTTATTCTCAGCACCCATCAATACCCGTTCAAAGAAAGGCAGCAGGAAAGTTAATAAGAATCTCGTGTTCCTTGGTAAATTCTCAGGTTTTGCTAAGTTTGGGCAGAAAAGTTGTGGCACTAGTAAAGGCGCCATGGCAAGATATTGGTGAAAAGCTTTTGGCAGAGAGATAGCTTTGAATACATGGCTGTGGATGCTGTTGGGCTGTCTGGGGGACTTTTATGCATCTGGGACCCCAATGTCTTCCAAATGTCAGATTGCTGCTGTAACAAGAATTTCATACTACTCTCAGGTAAACTCCAAAACTCATTTGATTGTGTAATTGCAAACATCTATGCTCCCAACGATGTCGGAAGCAGAGGTAAACTATGGGAAACACTGCACACTCTGAAAAATTCTTTCACCAAGCCCTGGTGCCTTGGTGGTGATTTCAATGAGATCAGAAATTTAGGAGAAAGGGTTGGAACATCAAGAAGGGATAGGGGCATGAAAGAGTTCAATGAATTCATAGACAAGTGTGAGGTGGTAGATTTGCAAATGATAGGGCGAAAATATACATGGTGCAATGCTCTTGATGGAAACAAGTGGAGCAGGATTGATAGATTCCTCATTAATCCAGAGTGGATGGAGAGATATAAATTCAAACTTTGGGGCCTTCCAAGAATAGTATCTGACCACTGTCCTATTGTGCTCATGGAGGATGAGAGGGATTGGGGGCCTAAGCCTTTTAAGTTTTTGAATGCTTGGCTTTTGCACCCTAATTTTGCTTCTTTTGTGGGGGAAACTTGGCAACAACATCAGTGTTCTGGATCTGCTGGATCTGTCTTACAAAGAAAGTTTTATAATCTGAAAATGGCT